AAGACGTCTTAGTCATTACCTTTACTTTGTGCAATAGACAAAAAGGGCTTATGACTGTTCAAAATTAGGAGTAACTTCCATGAAGTGTTGAATAGAGAAAATAGAAGGCATGAAAAAAGATTGGCACAGGGAAGGAAAGTCCCAATTGTCATTGGTCTAGAAACATATCTAAGAATTTTCCTTGTATTCTCTTAAAATTTTTACAGTTTTCTCTTTCCTAAGCAGAAAAGTGAGGCATATAATTATTAAGTCATCAGCTGTAGTCTGATACAGAAATCATGAGTCATAGCCAAAAAGCCACAAGCTCTAAAACATCATCCCATTTCTTGTTACCTTCTAATTACAGTTTAAAGGAAGGATTTGTTGATCCTCAAAGCTTAAGGATCTTTCTTAAGAACTTGGGTCTCTGCTTCCTGCTCAGAGAGGGTCTCTACCTCTCCTAATCCAGTCTGCTTCCTTCTACTTCCTCATGTTCTTGCTCTTTTCAACCTTCTTCCCTGCATCCTGGTGTGTCTTACTCCTAATATATCCTTTGCCTATATTTGTATTTATATTTTTCACTTTTTTTTCTGTTTCTTTTTATCTTACAAGTTTTCACTGTCTTTCCTCAGCTTGGCTCACTTCTCCTACATCAATATTTTCCTCTCCCTTCATTTAATTACAAATTCCATTCTTTGCATATTTATTTATTTTTCTTCTCTGGTATGATTGCCTTTGCTTTCTTCTTTCATTCCCTTTCCTTTTATTGGTGCTCATCTTGACTCTTGTATTGATGAACTTGTCATTTTTGGAAAGGAAACTGACCAGTTTCAGATTAGTTACCAAATCTCCCATTTTTGGTAATTCCAAAGTTACCAAAACTCCAATTTCTGGGTGTTTAAATGTGAGTCTGAACTTATTTTTATTTCTTTACTTGAGGAATCCTCATTCTCTTATGGGCAAAGAAAAGCTCACTACTGTAGCTACGATGTCTCTTGAAGATGTAAAAGCTAGAAAGCAAATACAAATTCAGTTTCTTGTTAATTTGGGGGTGTGACTAAAGACTGTACAGCTCAAGGAACTTGAGTTAGTGACTCTCATGTTCTTCCTTGCTCCCTTTCCCTAGGTTAGCCCTTATGTTCTTTTTTCCTTCTCTTCTTCCACTGTCCTCTAGTGCATACAGGCAGTGTCTGTCATACCTGAGAGCAACTTCAGTTCTGTTGTTGTAGCAACAGCAGCTTGATTTCACTCCAAACCTGCAGAAGTGAGCTGTGACATTTAATTATAGTATTAATCTTTAAACCCAAAATGAGTTTCAGGTTTGTTGCCAATATGTGCATCAGCCACAATATTGCCAGAAAAATCAGCGCTTATCATTTCAATTCTGAAAGAAGCTGTCTTGAAGAAACTGCCTTGGATGTGAGCAGAGGAGTCTGAGACACTGAGGAAGGCTAGGGAGATGCTCTGAGCTGCAGGGCTCTTAGATCTGCTGATTATAGCCTAAATGGTGGCTGTGTGATTGTGGTGTCACATCACTAAAGTTAACTCAGTAGCTTGGTTTTTCTTTGGATAGAGGAGTGCAGCTGGGTTGGCACGTCCCATATGCTGTCCTACAAATATCCTGGGTCAGTCCATTCTAACATACTGACTTATCTGTGTTGCTTTTAAAACAGTCTTAAATGTGTGCTTCTTACCATTGGTAGGAGTACAGGGAGCTCCTGCCTGAAGGGATGAGACCGTCTTCCCTGGTGCTTGAGGAAAGTTTGTAATGACTCCTCTTGCTCAGGGTTTGACAGAAGGACACTTTTCAAACAGAAATTCTCAAGAGCAAAAAACGAATGTGAAGGTTTGGGTTTTCTTTTTAATTTTCTTTTTTCTGTTGAATGTGTCTCTCTGAAGACTGTTTTTAGAAATACAGGAAACCTCCAATGTAAGTCACTTTCCTTCTTTCAAAAACTCTTCAGTTTTTGCATTTCAACAAACTGAGAGTGAAAATGATCTAATTTTCCAAACCATAGTTTGTTTATAAACTGCAGTTGACAGTCAAAGTTGTGCTGTTTACTAGTAATGAATGCATTAGCTTTTATTTGAAAACTCTAATAGAAAATTACTGTTGAATATTTTTTGGCAATAAGAGTGGTAAAAATGCTGCACAGATGTATAGCTAGTTGAATGGTTCTGAAGTCTGGAAAAGTCTTCATTTATGTTAAGAATCAGCAGCTGAAATGGTTTATTAAGGCTTCACCTGTTTACCAGAGAAGCACTTCATCCTGCTTGCAGAGAGAGACTGTTCTATGACTTCTGGGGAATTTTTTTTCTCCAGTGCTAATGAAGGGAGTGTGACCCTTAGGCTACATTTATGAGTTACTGCTTTTTCAGTCACGTCAGCTGAAGAGAGAAGAAATTTCTACTCCCAGCCACTACAGATAAAGCCAGTATAAATAAATTGGCTTGCAGGGGCCATATAAAAGCGAATTCATTTCAGTCTTGATAGATGCATGTGAGTGCATCAACAGTATTGTTAATGATCTCTTCAGAAATGGAGTAAATTCCCAATGGAGTGAGTCCACAAGTGACTGTGAACAGCTCTGGGAAATGTGCTAATTGTATAGCTGGTCTCAGGGTACAGAGGCACATGGAATGGTTAATAATTACAATAATGCATATTAAAATGTTGTAAGTCAGTCACTTGCACCAGCTAGGATACTGTCTGGGTGCATGAAAAACTTGTTATTCCCCCTTCCTGCCCCAGCACACACACTCATGACAATTCTGTTGAGGTTTAAAATACTGGTATAAATAGGAATAAATAGTTGAGTTTAATAATAAAAAAAGCACTCCAGAGTTTGTGTTTTTCCTTGAGGAACAGCTTTCATGGAAGTTTATCAAAGGAGCTGCAATATAAGATTCTTGCTGTTACTTTCAGAAATTCCAATTTTATCTTTCTTGTTTTGGTCCAGGCTGATTTATTTGTTTCTTGTGCTTCAGGACTTGTTTGGGACTTCTGCTAAATTGATGTTCATAGGATCTCAGCTCTGCTGTGAAGTGCAGCGATGAGTGCTTGGTGCTACTCAGAGGATCTAGTGGACAGCTTGGCTCCTGTTCCTTTAGACAGCAGGAGATGCAAGTCTGAATATTTTAAACTATCAGTGATTGCAAACATTGGTGGCCTGGTGTATGCACTGCATTGCTATTGGTTTAAAATTAGTACTTCTTAATGAAGTTGTATTTTTTTTAAAGTAATGTCTTTTAAACTTTGTGCTTTTTTTCTTCCCCTGTCTTGACTAAATGTCTCTGAATTAATCTTGTATCATCTTGTATCAAAAAGATACATTATTTTGGTCACCTGTCATTTGATTTCACAAAAGTAGCCCCTGATATTAATAAATCTGCTAATAATCCTAGCAGTTAAAAAACATTCTCAGCAAATTTCCCCTGTTTATAGTTTGTACAAATCACGTGAATGTTACCATTTTAAACACCGAAAAATTTATTACATGCATCTGAAAGTGAATGAACCAGAGGTACCAGTCCTTTAGAAAAGATGATATGCGATGCAAAAGCCTTTTAAAGTCTCTCTTTGCTCTTGGTTTTGAAGTCAGACACCAGTGCTAAGCATTAGCTTGCTTTGGCAACAGCTCAAAAGGAAAGTAAACAACTTTCACTCTGTTAGGTGGGTGTTCCCTACTAATTCAGGATGTGTTTAGCCTTTAGTTCCAAAGGGAAGGTGACCAGTTCAGTATGAAAAATTAGGTTTTTCTGTGCAGGTGACTCTTCCCAGAGCTGAGTGTATTGCATGCTGTTCACATTTGTCATATGAAGTCCGTGGGATCACTCCTCTGTGCAAGCATTGTGCCAGCCAGTTGGTTGAGCTTCCTTGGGCTTGTCAGCCAGTCTGATAAAATAGTCCTTCCAGTTATGGATACAAATCACAGGCTTTTCCAAGCTACTGCAGTAAATCCTTCCTAATCATCACCTGAACATGTGCTCTTCGAATACGCATGCACAGTCAAGCAAATGCATCCTGTTCTAGTTTTTGAGTACATGAGATGTCAGAATTCTGTCATGCATTTTGTAAGCTCTACTCTATTGGGTCCAAAGCTGCAAATTCTAAACCAGCAGAGTGAATGCAATGAAGCTGAAAAGCTAAGACAAAAAATGTAAAATTTTATATCCATGTATTTTGAAATTAAAATTTTGGGTAGATCCCCTTTCAAATGGATAGATTACTGTGAAGCAATTAAATTCCATGAATATTTTTTCCAGCAGGAAATCATCCTGTCAGGATTCCTTGACCCTACTTTGATAAGGATTATTAATACAAAACTATAAACTTGCTGCTTTTAATGACATGATGCTTTCCTAATGTGCTGTGAAATTTCAGTCTTCTTTTTGCTAAGCTGTCAAGCCACTTTGGTATAAAACTGTTTTGTGTTTCAGAAAACTGAGATTTCAATTTAATGAAACAGTTCAGAAACTTAATTTTTCTTTATTATGCAAATTCCTAAGTGATGTTTCTGAACTCAGAGGAAATGCAAAAATTGACAAGTGGGACTTACAAAAATAGTATAGTAATGTTTTAACTTTCATTTGCTTGAACTTCATATTTCTGTTGAACTCTTTGAAATCCCAGAAGTATCAGATGAAACTGTGGCTTTTCCCTAGTTTATGAATTAATGCTGCTTATTCTCTTGAAATAGCTATTTGCTACTGCTTAATTTAAGCCAACATGTTTTCATGTTCCCTCCATGGCTAAACATCAATCATATGATTTAAATAATGAAGCCAGGCATTAAAGACACATCTTTTTAAAAGACAGTATTGTAAAGGATCCAAATAAAAAGGGTAGGGCCTTCTTGTTCTTAATACCAGAATGCATATATAATAAAAACATTATTGAAATGTGTGATTCAGGTAAGACAAGGAATATTTGGCAATTACTCAAAAAAGAGCAGTGACTCAACTTTTTAGTTTTGTTCTTCCATTGTCTCTTTATCTGAAAACTTTTTTTTCTCTTACAGATAAATCAGGGCGTTTACACTGTACAGAAATGGAGGTAAGAGACGTATTTTGTGTTCTCTCTTAGTGGTGATTTAGCTCAGCTCTTTCTCATTAACTTACAGTGTAGATGTGGTATACTTACAGCGTGGTGTTATTATTGCAAAGTTGTAGTGTTTCTTGTATTTATGACTTTCACTGGCAGCTGATAAGTGTGTCATAACATGGGATATTTAATCTCATGTTCAAAAATACAGGAAAAAAAGGCTGTGTGGTTTTTCAAAACCAAGATTAAAGATTTGTGATGCCACCAGTATAATCTTATTTGGTATTAATCTCTTAAAAACATATGTGTATTTTAAAGAATATTTAATGTGGGTAATTTCTGTTGGATAAATTATTCTGTTATACTTACCTTAGAAAGGACTAATCGGTCATGGAATAAATACTTAGTATTTATGGAATGACTTGGTGATTTTTCACTACCTGAGAATTTGGGTGGAAGTAGGGAATACAAGTGATCTCAGGGTTGCTTGTTCATTTTAAAGCATCCTGATTTCAGATACTTTTGGTATGACCTTTGATTTATCACTCAGCAATGTTTTGGGGTCCAAGAAATATTGTTGTATGTATTGCTGGGGTAACAATAGAAACACAAATGCACTTAAATCTGCTTGGTTTATATCTTGACCGTTATTTAAATCTGTATATTTCTGTATATACTAAACTGTGGTTAGTGTTGTAATGGTTTTATATGTCAGATTCATAGATTTAATCCAGGACTTAATACAAAACTGAGTAGAACATCTAGTTGAACAAGACATGGACTCATAGTCTAATTTTTATTATCAGACAGAGTAAATAATACAGTCTACTGAAATAAACTTTTCCAGCAATAAATACAATTTCTGTGTCCTTTGCAGGGCAGCCTTTTCTCACTGCCTTTGAACTTTCTTTGAAATGTAAAACTGAGTTTTCACTGCAACTGTTCCATCCGTACCTCAGGCTGAGCCTGGAGATGGGACAAGAGGTGGAGCATCTTAATTGGCGGCTTGTCAGCTTTCTCATCAATAATGTATGTGAAGGTGACACAAAGTACTGTTACCAAGTGGTTTATTCATAGATAAACTCTGCATGATGATGGCTGGTTATAAAGACAAAATGAAAGGCCAGCTAATTCAACTACAGATGGTAAAATGCTAAGGCTATCCAGGTTTTTTCAAGTATTATTAATAATAATAATAATAAAACTAGAAATGTTCTTTCTGCAGGATACAGTGTAAGGGGTAATTCATAACAGAAGTACAGAAATTGGAAGTAGGCATGTTTTATTGCTTTGTGTGGTTTGGTTTAAACAAATACATCCTGCATTTGTTTCAGGATTTGCAAAATCTCAGTTCACAAATCTAGTGCCTTATTACAAATTATAATCTAGTGTGTCGTATGCTTTGCATAGTAAATATGTTTGCAGTTTTGCATTGTGTTTTTTAAAAGGAAGGTAATCAGAGGCCCTAACACTAAAAATACAGATAATATACCACTGTTAAAATGTTTTTAACAAAACATAAAGTACTTAATTTTGGGAAAGTAGAAGTGTTTTTGCTTCAAATGAAAATGTGTAGTAAGAGTCAGCTCAATATGCTGTATTTCATCTTCTATGGGAAAAGAGTTTTGTAATTTTGATCTTTTAAAAGTGTATTTGCTGATAGTTGAGAAGCAGACTGGAGCTTCCCATGAGACAGAGGCTTCCCTTTAGAATGTCTCCAACAAGCAGCACTGTGACCATTAGCATATTGACTCTTCTCTTTATCTTTGTCATTTTGAAGGAGGCTGTGAAGGAGTCAGTAACTTTTTTCTCCTCCAAAATTCCTTTGGGGTTGCAGTGTTAGACTTGAAGTTGATGATGTTTGTGTTTTTCAGAGCCAGGAATTCAGCAGAGACAGCTCATCTCATTTTTTTGGATTCCTGTGGAAAAGAGCGTAGCCTAAATGAGCATACTAGGATATGTGGGAAACTTCTTAAAATCTTAACGAATAACAATCATAACTTCTTCTTTACAAAACATGTAAAGATTCCAGAACGGGGACACCTTTTATTTCAAGCCAGCAATATGAGTGGTGTGTCAAGTTCAGAGTCCAGGTACCATAGCCATAATAGGAGGATGGGAGTAAGGAATAAGGTGACCTTGTTTAATCTGCACCTGCCTATAACTCTGCTATGTACATAATGATAGCGCTCCTTAGTCATCTCAGCCGAGGTGGTGAAATTATATAAAATATGCCAGCCTCATTTGTAAATATTTAGTGCTCACATAGAAAGTATTCTGTGAATGTGAAGTGATTCATATGTAGGAGGGTTTAATTGCCATCTATTTGAAAAGACCCACCTAAGTGAGCACAGGCCTGTTGTGTGTGATTAATGCAGTTAACCAGGACGTGCGCTAACACAGAGACACACGCAACCCTCACGTTGTTTAAGGGTCAGAAGGGAATTAAATAGCCTGTCCCAAACAATGGTGAATAAATTACTTGACACCATTCAGTCAAAGTCAAATCACAGAAGGAATCAATTGTAGAAGTGTTTTGGGGAGACTGTGCGCTGTCTATGCAAATTCTATTCATGAGCTCTTGGTATCACTATTAAAAATATTAACATACATTGAAAATCACAGTACTTGTCTATGGAGCCAATTGTTTTTGTCCTTTTCATTGGAAAATTGAAGCATTGACTGTATGTTAGATAATAATTCAGGGGAATGAATATACAGCTTATAAGAATACAGCGTTCACTGTCATACAAATGAGAATATACCTGTCAGTTCAGTGTATTGATGCAAATAAAATTAACCACCTCTCTCATGCAGATGAAAATGAAAACAGGTATTTAATAGCACAGAATGTTAGGATTTCAAAAGAGGTGTCATAATTTTGCATTAAAAGCCACGCCACACCTGTATTAAAGTGTGTTGCCTGCTCATAATTCAAGTAGTGTAAAATGTGTATTTAGCATATGGTAATATCTAGGGCTCGTATTTTTATCCTTGTTGAGTGTAAACAAAAGTAACATTCTGATTGAAGAGTAATTGCTGCAGCAAACAATCCTTGTCATGCACAGTAATAGTCACTTTGTTCTCCTTCCTGAGCATTAACCTTATGGTGACAAGGGAGAAGAAATGTCACTGCACAGAGGACAGGCAAAAATGTTTGAGAATAATTTCTTTTAGTAAAATATGAATGCATGTGACTTCCATCAAAATAAGTTTTCATTATGTACTGAAAAAATAAATTTCTCTGTGAATGCTTGGTTACAAATCTGGTAATTCTATGAAAGCTTTTGATTCCTTGTGCTTTTAAGAGGAAAATGAACAAGAGATCTGAATTGCCTTCTAGAAACCAAAGCAGAATCATGCATCTTTTCTTGCAAGCATTAATTTGTGCTTGAGCATTATGTGGCAGTTCTGATAAGTGAAGCACTCATCCCTTGCTGATGGAATTATCTCGCAGAGAAGCTGCACTCTAGCCTTTGAAGGACCTGTTATTTTAGATACCTGAAAGTCCATTATGCTTGTTCATTGATGTGGGGGTTCTCTGGCAGTCAGATCTCCAGATTTTCCTGAAATACTCCATAGTTGCAAAGAAGCAGCTTAGGAGACACTTAATTAAATAGCAAATGCACAGAAAAGTAGAGTTTAGGTTTTGACCTTTAGTGTTTTGTAATGAGCTGCTTTTTCAAGAGGAGCTTTGCCTTTTTGTAATTTGTATAAGTTTCTAGCACAGCAGGAGGAGATTGATCTTGGGGAAAAATGTTTTTCTGATGTTTGCTTGCTATAAGCTTGACACATTGCCTTTTTCATTCAGCAGTTTCATTGGGAATACACAGCAAATATTGGGTTGGAGAACTAATAATGTATTTGACTAAGCTGATTTAGTGATAGTCAAATCCTGCCATCTGTCCAGAGTTCTCAAAGAGAATTTGGCTGTTCCTTGTAAAGGCTTTGTAATTTTGCAGTATATGATGTGCCTGTATTAATCTACACACCCTGAAGTCACACAGGATTTATGATGAAATCTCCATGCCAGTGATACCACTGATAAACCTTTCAATCAACTGGGGAAGAGTCCAAAGGCAGTTTCAGCATTTTGTCTTCTGAAAATTTCAGATAATGGCTGGTGGAAAATTAGGTCTTACAGTAACTTGGGCCCTTCCAGGGAACATTTTGCCTGCAAAATAACACAAATAATAGAGCATAGAGCATGAAGTTAAGTGGTGTTGGTGTTTGTTTGATATTTTGGGGGTTTTCTTGGTTTTTTGTGGGTTTTTTTTGTGGTTTTTTTTTTTGTTTGTTTGGGTTTTTTTTTGTTTTTTTTTTTTTTTTTTGTTTTGTTTTGTTTTGTTTTTGGTAACTACAGAATTCCCTTTTTTTTGTGGGATGAGATAGAAAACTGCAACTATAGATTATATGAATCTGAAAGAGGGCTCAGAGTTTTGGAAGAGTAAGATAATTTTTACAGCTCTTTAGTTTTTGCAGAACCCTTTCTATATAAATTCTATTAAACTGTGCTTGAGAAGATACCCATCTAATCAGAAGCGTGCTAGCATACCTATGGCAGCAATCATATGTACTCATTGATAGCTATCATATCAATTAGCTCTATTGAGTGCTAATAGGTGCTAAAAGGTGCTATTTTTTGAGTAAACCAATGCAGGTGGACATGTTTGGCTGTCTGTTCAGACCAAGGGACTAATTTGATTGCTCATTTAAACTGGAAGAAAAAATTAAGCTTTAGATTTTTGCATACTGACAATTTAACAGCCCTTTGTGTTGTCCTTCTTTGTTGTTCTGTATAATAAAAGACAAGTTTAGAGTATCAGTATGAAATAGCAAAGCTGTCTCATACCTTTTTTTCTGCTAAAGCTCTTGAAGCCTTCTGAGATTATGCATCATTTTCCTATGAACTCTGCTACTTATGAATTTTCTGTTAGAGATGCAGTGTTTTCCTACCTCTTTGCTAATTTCCAAAAAGTTAATAGTCAAAGCACAATAACATAAAGAGCATT